AAAAAAACAGAAAATAACAAATGTTGGCAAGGATGTGGGAAATTGGAACCCTTATCCACTCCTGGTGGGAATGCAAAATGTACAGCTGTTGTGGAAAACAGTGTGGCATTTCCTCAAGAAACTAAAAATAGAACTACCAAATGACCCAGCAATTCCACTCCTAGATATATACCCACAAGACCTGAAAGCAGAGACTCAGAGGCTTGCTATATTCATTGCAGCATTATTCACCATAGCCAAAACGTGGAACCAACCTAAATGTCCATCAACAGATGAATGGATAAACAAAATGTGGTACATACATACAATGGAATACTACTCAGCCAACAGAAGAAGTCTTGATACATGCTACTATATGGATGGAGTTTGAAGACATTATGCTGAGTGAAATAAGTTAGTCACAGAAGGACAAATATTGTATGACCTTGCTTATATAAAACAATAAGAAAAGGCACATGTATAGAGACCAAAGTTTCTTAGTGGTTACCAGGGGCGTAAGGCAGAGGGAAAGGGAGAATTAACAGTGATGAAAAAATTGCATTGATTAAGGGTAGGGTTGCACAGCCAATTATTGTAATTGCTGTCAATAAGTTGTACACCTGTGAAAGGTTGAACTGGCAAAAAAAAAAGTCTGCTATAAACTGGAAATACCTAACTGAAATAAAATATATGAAACACTACTTGTGAATATTCCGTAAAACCAACATATGACATATTCCTGTTTTTTCAAACAACCACAGCTGGAGATCATTAAATTCCCATTGTTTTGAAGAAATAATGGTTTTATATATATAAGTATTTATTCAACACAACAACTTACACTGGTTCTAGACACACTTCAGGCTTAAACACCTTCTTACGCTTTATTGAAATTCCTAAAATCTGAGTAATGAATTAGATTCCATCTCACTCCTGACCACAACATGTCTGGCACACAACAGTGTTTGATCAAGACTTACTGAAGGAATAGTTTAAACTAGTAAAGAATGTCTGCCTTGAGAATTGAGCTCTTTTAAGATCTATCCATACGGGATCAAACTGACATAAACTCACTGCCCACTAAAGTTCCTAACTAGCAACTCACAAGACTAGATAAGAACTTTAGTGGGCAGTGAGTTTATGTTAATCGGAGAGGAACAACACAGAAAAGGAGGGTGAGAATGGTTGCACAACTTGAAAAATGTTGTCATGGATTGAATTGTGTCCCACAAAAATGTCTGTCAACTTGGCTGGGTCCTGATCCCCAGTATTGTATGATTGTGTACCATTTTGTAATCTGATTTCCTTAGGTGTTGTAAACTCTATCACTATGATGTAATAAGATGGATTAGGAGCAGTTTATACTGATGAGGTCTGCAACATTAGATATTGTCTTAAGCCAATCTCTTTTGAGATATAAAAGAGAGAAGAGGTTAGAGAGACATGGGAACCTCACACTACCATGAAAGCAGTGCTGGGAGCAGAGCACATCCTTTGGACCTGAAGTTTCTGTGCTGAGATGCTCCCAGACCAAGGGAAGACTGATGCATCACAACGACCTTCCTACAGAGCTGACAGAGAGAGAAAGCCTTCTCCTGGAGTTGATGCCCTGAACTTGGACTTGTAGCCTACTGGACTGTGAGAGAATAAACTTCTCTATGTTAAAGCCATCCACCTGTGGTATTTCTTTTATAACAGCACTAGATAACTAAAACAAATGTAATCAATGTCACTGAATTGTAGATAAAGAAACTGTTGAATTGGTGTATGTTCTGTGTATATCCTCAACAACAAAAAAATAAATTCTAAAAAACTTACTGAAGAAATTAACAAACTAGTTCTCTGAACATCAGTCACTTGTATCTACTTCATGATTCAGCTATCCAGAAGATTATACACCTCAACATACTCTGCTTCTGAAGTATCTAGATAAGATCTTACTGTTTTAAATGGTTTATTTAATAGTTACCTATCATTTATTGAATACCTACTAATAATACAGGCACCTTAGATAAATTATTTCTATTTGTACTAGGTACCTTACGTAAATTATCTCTGAATTTACAAAAAGATGGTTGTACTATTGCCCCCATTTCTGGCTGTCAGCATCAGTTATGCAGCACCGCAGCTACGCGGTGCAACCAGGAGGTGGACCCAGGTTTGTGTGGCTCCAACGCACCACCATGTCCACCACATCATGATGCCTCTCGCCCACAAACCCAGTTCCTCTTGGGTTAATCGTGAAGCTGATCCAGTGAAGCTGTTTCTGAAAGCAGTACAGCACACATCTCAAAGCACTGCTACTCCATGTGGTCCAAAGTCAGGCGGCATCAGCATCCCCCGGGAGGTTGTTAGGAATGCAGAGTCTCAGGCCCCGTCCCAGGTCTACTGAACAGAATGTGCATTTTAACAAGATCCCCAAGGGATTCATACGTATATTAGCATTGAAAAAGTGTTATCTTAAAACATTATGTGGATTCGGAGTGGTTTTTTCTGCTTCTACTCTAGTCACATACAAGCCCACTCCCAACAGTAACACCTCTCATTAGAAACAAAGGATTGAGAATCTCAGTGAGGGAGGGCTTAATGATCTCTGAAGCGGGACTGGACATTTTCAGAGAGTTGAGTCCCACTCATTTTCCTTACTTCTTACTAACTGCCCATAATCTACAGATACGGAATTCTAGTTACCCAGGTAGATCTCAGTTGCCTACTTAATTTACCCTGTACTTTGACAACTCCCCATACAGTTAATTCGAGATTGCAGTGACTACTCCACAAAAATATTTCAAATACTCCAGAGAAGAGAAGAAAAAACCTCCACTTCTGATGTTTCTAGCTATCTTTCTGCCTCTCTATTTTGCTGACTCATTTCCACTGCAGAGAGAGAACAAACAAATGGATCCTTCGATTAATTGCCCTGCCTGTTCTCCCCTGGGCCTCTCCAGAAGTCCCCAGAGTGGGCTGGATCAGCACCAAGTTAGACCACAGGCAGATACCAAGGATGCACAGAGCACATTACTTCATTAAAAGCACGTTCTAAATTAAAATAAAATCTATAATGATTAAGTCATGAAGGAAAACTTTTAGACAGGAAGTCCATTATTCTTATGTGAGAACTATAGAGAAAAAAACAGCCTGTAAATGTTTTCTAGGCTTCAGAAAACTTTTGCAATTCTAAAAATCCCTTGATGCTAAATTTCATTCCAGATTTATTCAACACCTACTGAGTGGTAATCGGAGCCCTGGTGGTACAGTGGTTAAGAGTCTGACTGCTAACCAAAAGGCTGGCAGTTCAAATTCACCAGCTGCTCCTTGGAAACCCTAAGAGGCAGTTGTACTCTGTCCTATAGGGTCGCTATGAGTCAGAAACAACTCAACAGCAATGAATTTGGGTTTTTTCGGAGTGGTAATCCTATACTCGGTGATTGGGGTGCAAAGACGAATCAGACACCTTTTTTCTCTTAGAAGCTGGCAGTTCAGCAGAGGGTAAGAGATATTAGCAGGCAATTTATCACGTAGCACTGAACAGAGCAGCTCAGGGGAGGAAGGAACTTGCAGACAGGGGAGTCAGGGAAATCTCTTGAGCTACATGAACAGTGACAGCTAAGTGCTTGCCAGGGGAAAAAGGGAGAGAAGAAAACTGAGTGTCAAATGGCCAAGAGATAAACACTGAAAAGAAGTGGCATTGGGAGGAGTGATAGAGTCTGGCGTGGTGCTGCAGGGGACTTGGTGGTGTGGCAGGAAATGAGGCTGGAGAAGTAGGTGGAGAGATTGTGAAGATCAAAAGTTCACACCTAATCATGTGGACAATGGTTTTTAAAATATTCCAAGGCATAATCAAATGTGGTTTTGGAAGATGCTAACTCCGGTGGGGAAAACTAGAACAGGAAGAGGTCAAAGGGTGAAAGATGAGTTGGGAGGTGTTATGGATTAAATTGTGTCCCCTGAAAATATGTGTTGTAAATCTTAGTATCTATGCCGATGGTTATAATCCCATTTGGGAATGGGTTGTCTTTGTTATGTTAATGAAACATAATTAGCATAGGATGTGTCTTCAGTCAATCTCTTTTGAGATGTAAAAGAGATTAAACAAGCAAACTAAAGCAGCAGAGACGAGGGAAAGATTGATGCGAAGCTACATGGAGGTCTCCAAGGAATCAGGAAACAGAAGCTGAAGAGACAAGGACTTTCCCCAGAGCCAACAGAGAAAGATAGCCTTCCCCTGGAGCCAACGCCCTAAATTTGGACTCCTAGCCAAACTGTGAGCACATAAATTTCTGTTTCTTAAAGCCACCCACTTGTGGTATTTCTGTTATGGCAGCACTAGATAACTAAGACAGGAGGCTAACAGTAAAAGTGGCAGAGGAGCATCTGAAGGGGTGAGGGTTGTGGGGCAAGCAAAGGGAGAATTCAGGATAACCCAGGTGTGAATGAGAATAATCCACACAACTTCCCATCACTGTCCCATACTGTGGGCTTTCATGACATGTGCCAGTAGGAAACTGTCTCAAATGCCCATCTACTTGGTTTGAGAACTGCTTAGAATAAAGATGTGTATGGTTTTCAGAATCTTTGTTTTGGTTCACTGAAAGACATCTGGGGAATAGACAGGAACTCTAAACTCACTGTCAATAACAACACTGATTCTTTAACAAAATTATACATTAGAAGATAAAATATGTAATGTTCTATCCCAAATATAAGAAAAAAAGCCAGGACTGTTGAAAATATTCTTACTATATTATAAATATAAATATTAGGGATTAAAGGCAAATATAAAAACTTTCCCCACTGGATAAGAGGTGAAAAGCACCAGAATAGGTTTCTAAGGGCAACTCTAATAGTGCAGGTTCTTTAAACAAGCCAGGTTCTCACTGGTCTGGACTCAGTGAAGAGGCACCTGCCTGAGACACCATGGGCATCCCTCAGTCCACGTTTAAGTTTCTCCACAGAGCAAGTAATCCACGCAGGCTAAAACAAATACTGAAGAGTTCTTTTCTAAAGGAGTAACTACTTACAAGGTGATTGCTGATGTTTTTCATTTTTTCGACAACACTCTTCATAGTCTTCAGCACTGGTAAGTAAATACTAACCTACAAAATCAATGAGAAAAGTTAAAAGTACTAACAATATATACAAAAGATTATATTAGGTCATCAATAACTATTTTTAGAATGCATGCACGATTAAAACCTCTGGAATCCTGCATTTTTAAATTGTCTGACTAAAGTTCTTTTAAAAATATGGGAGGAAAAAAAAAAAAAAGCCCTAATTTTATAATTTTACTAACTCATGGATGTTCAAGCCACATTAAAGAGCCTAACGTCTACCTCTGGTTACCCTGGTGACCACGTCCCTGTAGGGGTTCTTCTGGTTCAAGAAGGATCACAGCTCTGCAGCTGAGATTCCTTATATAAATCAAATCCAAGGGGAATGAAACACAAGCACTCAGCAGGAGGCCTTCCTCCAAGGGATGTTTACACCTGGGGCTCAAAGAGGCCTTTTCAGTACTGGCAAAAATACAGCATCAGAGCTAAGCCTGTGTTACTAACGAAAATACTATTATTTTCAGCGGCTTGGGATTACTATGGAAACCCTGGTGGCATAGTGGTGAAGAGTTTGGCTGCTAACCAAAAGGTCAGCAGTTCGAATCCACCAGGCGCTCCCTGGAAACCCTACAGGGGCAGTTCTACTCTGTCCTATCAGGTTGCCATGAGTCAGAATCGACTCAACAGCAATGGGTTTGGTTTTTGGTTTTGGGATTACTAGGAATAGGATTGTTAAACCAAGTTCTAAATTGTGAAAACTTCTTGCCTCTTGGCTCTCTTACACACATCCTGGGCTTTGCTCCTTCCGGGGACTTTGAGACCCAAATTGGTGCTTAAAGCCAACACTCCTGATAGACGGTGACTGTGCTCCAAAATACTATTTTAGATTTTTTAAGTGCAAATATTGAGGAAGACACTGTCCTGTTTGTAAAAAAGTGTAACATTTCTATTACATACAATGCTGTTTTAAGATGTTCTATGTAAATAACAAAGACAAATATTCCAACTTTCTTCCTTGCGTAGCCTTTAAAAATGAATAAATATCACTTTCTTTTGGGGTACTACGCTATTTTCAAATGAAGTATGCTATAGGACTTAAACTAAAATTAGAGAATTCAAATCAGGCCATTTCATATATGAGGAAGAACAAAACTCCAGGCATCAACTTACATCAGAGTCTGGGACTGTAGGTTCTTGTAAATCCTTCCACAGTTTTCTAGGAATAACCTTTATGGGGATGTCATGTGTCACAACGCGACTACTGCTCGAGACGGATAACTGTCAAGAGAAGAGTGAAAATGCATTTTGATGTCAATATTAAAAAAAAGAAGACTCAAAGGACCAAAAAAAGTTAATACGCTATCTCTAAATGGAATGTTCTTAATTCATTCACTCTAAATCCATTCAACAAGTATTTACAAAGTACCTGTTCTGTTGTGGGTACTGTTAGGAGAGTGTGGGGAATAAGACAAGGTCCCCAAAGTTCCAGTGGAACAGATGGATCAATGAGCAAGAAAACAAACAAAACAAAATTTTCTGGAACACTCATTACAGCCTTGAAGAAAACAAAAGAGTGGGAACAGTGTGAGTGTAGGGGGAGGTTGCTTAGACTAGGTGGTAAGGAAAGGCCTCTCTAAAGAGGTAACACGTGTCAAGTCACATAAAACAAGGATGAGCAGCCGGTCATGAGAAGATGGGAGGTGAGGGAGGAACAGTGTTCCAGCAGAGGGAACAGCACATATAGAGTCCTGAAACAGAAGCAAACTTGCTATGTTTAAGGAAGAGAAAGAAGACAGTTCTTTGCTCATGGGACACTCTGGCTGCTTCAGTTTCTACACTATCAAAAGGATAAGCCAGGTTTATCTGTTTCCAAGGGCTTTTATGAGACTCATAATAAGTCAGAGTATCTTGCACTCTTAGAAAAGTATTCATGTCACCATCTTGCTTTTCCTTAAGCAATTAAAGAAGCATATGTGAATTGGAAACTCTGATTCACTCCAAGAACTGCCTGACTGCAAAGTCAGTTAAGAGTTGAGAAAAAGGTATGAAGAAAAGTTGAGAAATCCTATTCCACAGAGAAGTTTAAACTGAATACAATATTCATCAGTAAGATAAAGTGTGTAGCATATAAGGAAGGAGAGTTCTAAAGACAAGACGTGGGGTGGGGGGAGGCAGCAGTGGTGCTGAGCACTAAAGAAAGATATGGTTTCAAAGAGTGAGAAGAAAAGAGATTTCAAGCGGAAGCCTCAACATCACCAAAGTCTGAGAAGTGGAAAAGAATGAGTAGTACTTTGCAATTTGGTTCCACGAGAGGTTGGGTCATAATATGAAGGGCTTGTACATCATACCAAGACATTTGGACTTCATTCTGTGAGCAGTGATAGCCACTGTGGTATGTGTATGTTTGTCCTGAGGAAAACTATGCACTAACTTCATCTGGTAGTGTCATGTAAGACAGATGTGTTACTCCTGAATGAGAGATCATTTAAAGGGTATGACAGCAGATGAAGTAGGGGGAAAAAAACTTCAAGGTGAAAATAGATTAATTTCTGGATTAGGTAAAAATACCACTAAAAGAAATAGAGAGGCGAGGATATACAGATCTGAGAAGGTGAGTAAGTTTTACTGCATAACAAAATGCACCACTCTATTTGAGCATTATATCATCACAACACTATTTTAAAATGAGGAAAAACTGACTTCAGTTTAAAAACTGGCCTTTAAACAAAACCAATTAACTTTCAAAAGTATTGTTTAAAAAAAAAAAAAAAAAAGTTGCTCTGGGGTCAGTTTCAACTTGTGGCAACTCCAGGCAATACAGAGTAGAATTACCCATAGGGTTTTATTGGCCGTAATATTTATGGAAGCAGATCGCCAGGCCTTTCTTCCGCAGTGCTGCTGGGTGGGTTCAAACTGCCACCTTTTGGTTGGTAGCTGAGTGCAAACTGTTTGTGCCACCAAGGGATCTTATTATTAAGAAACCTAGGCTTACAATGACTGTATTCCTTCTCGGAAGTTTCAGAAATGCCCTTCCTCCTACTCACCATATCTACAGAGACTGTAAGGCAGGGGAAGTGCTTATTAGTCAGCTTCATTTTCAAGGCTCTGGCATTCTGGGCAGTTTTCAAGGCTCGAGATAAGTTTTCTGATGTCAGCTCTACATAAATTTCATTGTGTTCTGCTGAGATACCTTCCATTTGAAAGTCACTGAAGAAATTCTCCTAAGGTGAGAAAAAGGGGGACAGGTGTGACCTTTCTAGTGGCATCAGGCTAAGTCTGCAGGCCGCTCAGGAGCTTCCGCTCACCTGTTCCAGTTCACACCACATGCCCACCCCTCCATTGGTGACCTTATCGGAAAGGATGAAGTTCAGCTTATCCGGGCTGATGCGGAGGGTGCAGGTTTTGGCAAGCTTGGCGATCATGTTACTGGTTCCTACAGCAGGGGATTAAAGTAAGGAATTACTATAATTTCCATCATGTATCCCAGGGGCCAGTTTATCTCAAAGAACTTCTCATTCACCATGTTGCAACATCCCGGTGAAAAAACAAGTTTATATTTGTATCACTCTGGAAGGTAATTTATTACCACAGATGTCATGCCATTCTTCCAACAACCCTGTGAGGTATGCAGCACGGATCCTCAGAATTCAAATAAGGAAACTGAGGCTCAAAGAGATTAACCGGCAGCTAGGGGCTGCATTCATTCATTCATTCAACACACACTCGCTGCCCACTAGGTAAGGGAGCACATGGTTCAATGTAAGGATAGGCGTAATTAGGGTGGAGGGACCAATGGTTAGATGGGGCTGGGTTATAAAGGAATTTTTATGTCAGCTAAGGATACTGCAGGCATTAGTAGGCTTTAAAAGATATGTGATGAGAATCAAGTTGTAGAAACACCCCTTCGCACCCGCTTTTATTCTGTCTCCGCCCAGCGCGCGTTCCCATCCCCGCGCCCGCCCCCGTCTTCTTGCAGCTGCCAACTTGGCGTGCACGTCCTCCCTTCCATCCCCTCCGTCCTTCCGGCTTCTATCCTCTCAACATAGTGCTGGATCAGGGCGTGGCCCCTGCTCACGCGTGAAGTGGTTCAGACAGGCCGTGTCCCCGATCTTAGCCCGAAACTTCATGGCTGGACTCGCGCCCTCGCGCCGGGGGCGTCTGTCGGCAGAGGACCCGAGTCCCGTCCACGTCTTCCCCTCGGCCGGAAACGCGGCGCGCCGGCAGAATGGTTCCGCCGCGCTCGGGGCCGCCGCGGCCTTCGCACGGGTCTAGCCGGGGTTATATCATCCTAGGCATGGTATGGATTCAAATTCTCGAGCTCCACGGGGAGGAAACGCCCTCACTGCAAAATAAGTGAAGAGCGCTGGGGTCCCCCCTCCTAGGCCCCTCGCCTCGGCCCTCTGTAGTTTGGGCTGATGCTCCAGAGGCCCTTGTTCTGGGTCTTGAAGGAATGCAGGTCTTTCCCTCATGCCATAAGCGTCGCCCTCTCGTCACTCCCAGTGCGACAGCAGCAGGATAAGTTGGTCCCGTGCCTCCCTCCGCCATAGATTCAGGGCGCCGCTTGTTCTTTTGCGAAGGAGGAACCCGAGCATCCAGGAAGTCCGCGTGGCCGGAGAGGTCGCACCCCCGTGTGCAGGTGGGGTCCGTTCTTCTGTGACCGGAGAGTCCTGGGCCCCCAGGTGTGAGGGAGGTGGTTCCCAGTACTCACATTTTGAATGAACTGTATGACCTGTATTTGTAAACCATTAAATCAAACATTCGTTTAAATGGTCACCCCTATAAAGCACAACTTTAGAACCACCTCCAGGCTCAGATGACAGTACTGGTCCCTTGGCCGTATAACGTCCTTGTTTAACTCTGGTTTTGAATATTGTTTTAAATGGTTTTTAAGTTTGAACATCTTACTGCTTGTAAAGACAGGGTGCTTAAGGAACACTGAGGTTAAATGGCAGTTTTGCAATTTTGTCTTGAGATGAACTTCACTAGATCTGATTAAAATCCTTATGGCATATACTATTGTAAGAACTAAAAAAAGAAAGAAATTGAACAATTACATCCAATTTGGTTTTCGAACACTAAAGATTGTACACCTTAAGAATGTGTTATTTTTACGTTTTTGTCTTTGTTTTAAGTACCTTGCAAATAGAAGCCTACACCTTGACTTCAACTTGACATTCAGTATCAAGAAATTTTTTAAATAATAGTAATGCAGATTATTTTTAAGTTGCAAAATATTTTAAAAATTGCTAACATCAGTGTTTGCCTAATTTAAGACTATACCATGAAGCTGAATTACAGTTTACATTGTTAAATTCAATATAATGTCACTTTTAAATTTGTCAACAAAGCAGGCTTTTTTATTAGCTCATAAATAAATTTTAAAATATAGAATGAAAATCAGTAATGCGAGGTGATTGTAGGTCATGAATATAATGAAAGAATATATTTAAATGAACTTTGGAAACAATGTTTCATGATATATTGGCTTACAATACTTTCATATCACTTAACGAATATTTTGCTATAAAAAATGATAAACCAATTTTTTAAACTTCCTATGAAAACTTGTGTGGTTATATATTACATTCTGCATAGACAAAAGACAAAATGGTATAGGAAATTTTGACCCAACAAATATAAAAGTTATAATTATTTTTTTCTCAGAGAAAAAGAAATCTTTTATGTATTCCTGAAAATTTCTTAAACTTTATATAAGCTTAACAAATTAGTAGTTCAATAATTTCAGAATTATAATTAAATATACTGATAGTACTTCCCTACTGTCTTTCCAAAGGATTTTGAGGCAGGGAGTAATGAGATCACTAGAGATCTCTAGAAGTTGTGTGCTACTGAATTTTCTAATGCAAAGTATAGACACATTGTTTTTGATTAAGCTAGTAATCAGCTTTCAGATTTAAAAAAAAACAAAAACTAAAAACAACAGTCAGACCACAGAGGTTAGTAACTCAATCACTGGAAGATAACAGTGTTGATGTTGTTCATTGTGTTTGTTTGTTACCGCCAGAAATGCCATAATCTTGTCTTAAAAACGGAAATACCATTACAGTGAAGCATATGAAACTGCAGTCAGAATGTTTAGTTGCAAGTAAGACAACTAACCTATTTATAGCTGTTTAAGACAGTAAACTTGACCTAGATAAGCATTGTGCATTTACTAGCTATTCCCCAAAGTGGCCCTGGGTCAGTGGCTTTCACGCTTGTTCATCTTCTCTAGTCCCTGGGAAGAGAAGCAGTTATCTGCAGGCCTGTTGTTAACAGTTAATGTTGGAAACATTACCCAAGGGAAAAGAAAGTGGCGTGGCTCAGAGGTTCTGCGTTAAATTTGAGAGACAATATTTGTCTTTCTTTTTTACATAAGAAAATTATAAAATAAGAGAAAGCATGTAGTAGATGTGGTATGTGTGAATGCCATTTCAGAATTACATTAGTTTGACGGGTAGGTTTAGTGTTTAAGCAGATTTTCAGAGAATCTTCTCATTTAGATGTTAAAGGAAAAATACTTCATTAAATTTCATAAATATTTTTTAATTACCGTTTGTTGAGCACATGATAAGTGTTGGACACAGTGCTTAGGGATGGGGATCTGAGGAAGAGGACCACCCTCCATTCACAAAGAAGGAGACCAACATTTGTTGGTGCCTACATGATATTTTCACTTTGATAACACAAATAATCCGTAAGATGAGTGCTATTATTCCCATTTTAAGAATGAAGGAATGAAGAGAATTAGAAATGTCGGTTACTGCATGCCTTAGACAACGCTCCCTGTGGGAGTCAGCATCAGGGGTTTGCTGAGTGGACAGTGCCCCATATGCTCCCTGTCAGGCTGGTTTTGCACTGGGCCTACAGGAAACAATTGATAAACTGCCGCCAGTTTATAGTCTGGATAAGAAGATAGGGAGCTCAGCTAATTCACAGTCGTCTGTCAGGAACTGCAGATAAGAAACTGAGAAATTTTAACAATTGGCAAGTGGGAAGTGTATCAGTTATCTACTGATGTATAAAAAATTAAGCCAAAACTTAGTGGCTTCAATAATAACAATTTGTGATGTTTCAAGATTCTGTGGGTTGGCGGGGTGGTTCCTCTGCTAGGTTCCCCTGGTTGTTGTTGTTGTTGTTAGGTGCCGTCCAGTCGCTTCCGAATCATAACAACCCTACCTACAACAGAAGGAAACACTGCCCGGCCCGGCGCCATCCTCATGATTGTTGTTATGCTCGAGGCCATTGTTACAGCCACTGTGTCAGTCCATCTTGTTGAGGGTCTTCCTGTTTTTTGCTGACCGTCTACTTTACCAGGTATGATGTCCTTCCCCAGGGACTTATGCGTCCTGGTAACATGTCCAAAGTGTGTGAAATGAAGTCTCGCCATCCTTGCTTCTAAGGAGTAACTTTGGCTGTACTTCCTTCAAGATGGATTTCTTCATTCTTTGGGCAGTCCATGGTATATTCAGCATTCTTCAACAACACCATAATTCAAAGGCATCAATTCTTCTTCGGTCTTCCTTATTTATTGCCCAGCTTTCACATGCATATGAGGCGATTGAAAATACCATGGCTTGGGTTAGGTGCACCTTAGTCCTTAAAGTGACATCTTTGCTTTTTAACACTTTAAGAGGTCTGGTGCAGCAGATTTGCCCATTGCAATGCGTCGTCTGATTTCTTGACTGCTGCTTCCATGGATGTTGATTGTGGATTCAAGTAAAATGAAATCTTTGACAACTTCAAATTTTTCTCTGTTTATCATGATATTGCTTATTGGTCCAGTTGTGAGGCTTTTTGTTTTCTATATATTGAGGTGTAACCCATACTGAAGGCTGTAGTCTTTGATCTTCATCAGTAAGTGTTTCAAGGCCTCTTCACTTTCAGCAAGAACGATTGTGTCATCTGCATAATGTTGGTTGTTAATGAGTCTTCCTCCAATCTTGATGCCTCATTCTTCTTCAAATAGACCAGCTTCTCAGATTATTTTCTCAGCATACAGACTGAATAAGTATGGTGAAAGGATACAACCCTGACACACACCTTTCCTGACTTTAAACCACGCAGTATCCGCTTGTTCTGTTCAAACGACTGCCTCTTGATCTATGTTCAGGTTCCTCATGAACACAATTAAGTGTTCTGGAATTCCCATTCTTCACAATGTTATCCATAATTTGTTATGATCCACAGAGTTGAATGCCTTTTCATAGTCAATAAAACACAGGTAAACATCTTTCTGGTATTCTCTGCTTTCAGGCAAGAGCCATCTGTCATCGGCAATGATATCCCTCGTTCTATGCCCTCTTCTGAATCTGGCTTGAGTCTCTGGCAGTTCCCTGTCGATGTAATGCTGCAATTGCTTTTGAATAATCTTCAGCAAAATTTTACTTGCGTTTGATATTAATGATATTGTTCGATAATTTCTGC